CAAGTGATTGTTCATACTTCTAGGCGGCCCCGCCGGGGTTTTAGAAGAAGTGGCCGGCTGCTTCTCAGCCGCCACTGTTTTCCTGGAAGACCCAAGAGAACTTGCAACAGTCGTCCTCCGGGCCTTGGGGTCCGGCTGTTGCGAGGAAGAAGCTCTTGGAGTGCCAGACTGAAAACAAAAAGAGTTAGTATATGCATAAGACAACTCCTAAAAGAGGAAGAGTTTTCAAAGCCTACCAAGGGTGCCCCCTTGTTGGGGGAGTCGGCATAAGACTGTTGCATGAGAGAGGCCCGCAACATGGCCGACGCAGTCTTGGATGCTGTTATTTTACTCATGGCGTCAGCTGCAAAAAATAAACAGCAAAGTTAGTAAAGATCCCAAGTAAACAAGGCGTGAAAAAAAAACAGAGTATTTGTCAGGCCGGCTACCTCTAGAGCACCGACTGCTGAGGCCACAGGCGGCCAAAAAGTACTCGTCATAGAGCCACTTGAAGCTCGGGACACAGTTTAGGGGTACTTGCTCTCGTACCCCTGAAGTAGGGTTCACCCTAGTCTCTACTTTGAAGAGTCCTTTGTCTAGGATCTCCCTTTTAGCCTTTGGGGGAACAGGCGGCATGCTGCGGCCGCCTGCGAGAAGAGGCGGATCCCTATTCCACTTGTTAAAACGTTGGTTCAGCTCCGTGTCTGAACCCTCAATGATAAGGAAGGTGTTCCGCCAATCCTTCCATTTGTTCGCTTTACCTCTCGTCATGAGGTAACCCCTATGGCTTGTTAATTGATACCAGCCGGTACCTCCCGACTTAGGGGTCCGGCTGAGATAGTTCATGTGGGCGAAAGCCTCAAAGCTTGGCTCCAACCCGTACATTTCGCACCCGGCCACATAGCCGAGTACGTTTACCCAAGAGTTGGGGGCTAACTGCCATAACCCCAAATCATACCCATCTAAAATCCGCTGAACAGTCGGATGTAATGGGAAGCGCAGTCCAGCTTTGATGGCCGCCACATAGCAGCCAAAGCAGCCGTCATCATAGCTGGTACCAGCCGGCCAGACGACAGTGTCTTCTGGATCCGGCACGAACAGTAAAAATTCCGGGCCCATTCTGTGGTTAGCAATAAAGCTCTCCACTTTGTCTTGCATGGTTGCGATCCGGCCCCGGGGTACCATGCAGTAGTAGGGGGCGTTTTCCTCTCTGTAAGAGGCGGACGGCTCCGCCCAATTGTCCCCCTTCTCAACTGCATGAGAAAGTCTCGCCTCTTGTAGGCGGCTATGTCTTTCTTCTGAGCCTGGAGAACTGTGGCCAGAAGAGCTGGACTCGGACTCGTCCTCTGACGAGTCCGAAGAGGACGACTCCTCCCCTCTCCCAGAGGGGCCCGCCTCCTCTCCCTTAGAAGGAGCAGGAGGAAAATTAGACATGTCCACGGTAAGATGGGAAGGGACCACCTTGGCCCCTCTCTCAGAACTGTCGGCTTGGCAGCCGCCTCGTTTCAATTCTACATCTGGCGCCTGGTCAGATGTTTCACTAAGGAGCACCCTTTGGGAGGAGCCGTCTGAGTTTGATATCATAGCAGTCTGTTTTGTTCTGGCCATCACGTTCTGCATAGACACAGATACAGTCGGACTTTGTATAAAGGGCAAAGATGGGTCCAGAAAAGGGCAGGCGGCACTCCTAGTCCTAGATTCAGCCGTCCCCGGTGACCGGCTGATCACTAACTTAGGTCGTGTCGTGTGCTTCCGTGGTGCCATTTCAAAAAATAAAAAGAAAATTAAGAGTAAGAGAACTGAGTTACCTGAACGAGTGACGGTTGAAGAAGTTCTGGAAATCCGGTGCAGTCGTCTTGTCAGAACAGGCGGTAGGCAGAAAAGGTCCGAAATGTCAGAGCAAGTTCAGGGGTCCGAATGTTCTCGCAAAGTTCTCAAATGTGAAAATGACCGAAGTCAGCACTTCCTTATATAGGCAAGGTGAGAAGGCGAAAGGTCGCTTCCAAATTCAAAATTTGGGCGGGAAAATCTCTCGGCCGTTTGCAAGGTGACACCTGTAGCAGGCCGTCGCCTGTCACCGTGCGACACCTGTCACAGGCGACACGTGACCAGTCACGTGCCACCTGTGAGGGGCAAATGATTAGGGGATTTTTATCCACCAATCACCGTCTGACAAGTGGACCAACCAGGTTCCGCCACGTGTCCTTCACGAAGGCCAATAGGAGCCTGCCACGTGTCAATCACAGATACGTCCTCTACGGACCAATCGAGGCACGCCACGTGTCCACCCATGCCAAATGGGAAAACCGGCCATCAAGGCCCAATCCCGTCTAGAGGCCCGGTCAGCCCTAGGTTTACCCTAAACCTAGAGAGTGGCACGCTTCTCAAGACTATAAATACTTAATTAATCCTCATTAATTAAGCAAGCCAGAGATCAAGAAATCAAGAGAAGAACAGAAACATTACGGAACACTAATAACCGGCTAATCTCGCTAACAAAGCAGATTACCAACATTAAACACTCTCACCTAGAGAGGTCTTATTACTTTAATTTCCGTATTAATTACTCCTTAATTAGGTACTAACTTGACCGTTGGAGGCGGAGCTCTCAGGAGTCTCCGTTATTTTGCAGGTACAGGCGTCCGGTTCCAGTCTCGGAATTGTAACTCTCCCGCAGGACATCAGAAAACCCCGAAACAATAATAATAATAATAATAATAATAATAATAATAATAATAATAATAATAATAATAATAATAATAATAATAATAATAATAATAATAATAATAATAATAATAATAATAATAATAATAATAATAATAATAATAATAATAATAATAATAATAATAATAATAATAATAATAATAATAATAAGAAGAAGAAGAAGAAGAAGAAGAGAAGATATGAAGAGAAGTTGAAACCGAAAAGAAGAAGAAAAGGAGGGTGGCGGCAAGGCAGCAGCTCAACGGAAGGTGGCTGCTGCTGGTGGCAGCCGGCGGCAGTCGCCAGAGGTGGTGGCAGACTATGGTTTGTGGTGGTGGTGGCGCAAGAAACCGAGAGAGAAAAGGGAGGAAAACCATGGGAATTAGGAGGGAAAAGAGAGGATTTTAATGTGGGTTTTTGCATTAGCGTAAGGGGTTATTTAAAGGCTTATGAATATAATTTAAGAATCAAAGTAATATTTTGTAGGAAGAATTAAGACAATTTTGGTTTATGGAATTACTTGAAAAAGAGAGCTTAAATTTAAGGAAAGTATAATTGTTCATGATTGAGTAAATAAAAGAATATGGCAAGCTTTCTATTTCATGTTTGATCTTAAAATATTTTCCTACATATTTCTCGTATATAATAAAATGAAACATAAAAAATTAGTAAAAGGTTAATTAATCAAATGAATTCCATCATTCTTTTACTACTTGAGTTGTTGCTCAGGCATAAAACATAGGGAAAAGTGAAATTTCTATGGTATACCTGGGTGCACCATGCACATGATGCACCCGGGAAGAACTAACATTACACATATGTATAAAGAACACGAAAAAAAAATCATTTACAAAGAACGCAAGCATAAAATGTTCTGTGAGTTTGATCATTATACTCTTTGAGTATGAACTTTATATTCTTTACATTATAAAATATGTTCTTTACTGTATATAGATTAAAAATGTTCTTTAAGGTTTCAATAATACAAAATATGTTCTTTTACTTGAATAATATTTTTTTTTATGCTCATGTTCGTTTGTTCCTATACGTTCTTTGGGTTTTCTTTTATCCCTTATGTTCTTGAAAGTTCTTGTTTTTATTTTTTTTATATTTTTTTATATATTTTAGTGTATGCGCTATTTAAATTTATCTCTTATATTTTTTAAATTAGACCCTTAATCTTCAATATCGTTTATTAATTCTATATTAATTTTTTTTGGATATTAATTATCATCTAATTATGTATATATATATTTTAAAAAAAACATTATTAAATCATATAAAAAACATCACAAGAAATACATATGACCATTATTAAGATGAATATTATAATTATATATAAAATAAAAAAAAAAATTGGTAAAAAAATATAACCGAAATAAAATATTATGAAAACTGAAATTTTGTAAATGAATATAAAATTTTAAATTGATATTTGAAAATGAAATCTTAAATTATTCTTGGGAGGAAAAGAAATCCCGAGCCAAACAATTAGGCTGCTTTTCCGAGTCCAGACCTACTTTCGAGAGGTCTTTCGACCGGAATTAATTATAGAGAAAAAGTTATTATAAAAACTCAATATCATACACGTTCTTTACAAACAATATCATGTTCTTTTCTATACACATCACATGTTCTTTACAATTTATAACAATGTTCATTTTGCTAATTTTTTATTTTTTTCATTTTTTACCGGATGCACCATCATGCACATATCAAGAACCAAGGGAAAAGCCTATGAGGGTGTAGAACTTGTAAGATAAAAACAAAAACGAAAGGATAATAACATTCAGGGGTTGGTTGAAGACCTTGTGAATTTGTTGTTCACAAGCACCTTTAATGACTCAAGTCCCTCTTCAAAGGGTACTTGGTTTCTCTTCGGAGAACCGGAAACTCAAAACTGGTAACTGGCTGTGAACCCCCAAAATTTGAGCAGTCTTCGGATATGGGATTTTGAAAGTGAGAAAAAACCTCACCCCTAACCTAAACTGAGGAGTGACAAAGGCGAATCCCCACGAGGCCACGATACAGTTAAAAAAAAAAAAAAAAAAAAGTCACCAAAAAAAGGTCAAAAAATAATTTTTTATGTTTTTTTAGAAAAAAAAAACCATGAAAACCAAATCTTCCAACCATACTCTTGGTCATCAAAGATTCTTGTTCAGCTTGTACAAAGAAAGTAGAATCTAATCAAAATTAGCATGTTTGGCCACAGCCAATTGCAATACACTTCATACTCAATACACCAACTAGCAAAGTCCATTAATTGATGTACATAAATGTGCTATTAAAAAAAGACTTTAACTAATTAGCAGTGTAAGTTAGCTATCACTTAAAATAAGGATATTTTTAAACTCGAGATTTATCAGAAAGATAAAAATAAAAATTTCAGAAGCATTATCATTAGGTTGTAACAATGAAGAATGTGGTCAACTTCTAGCATATACTCATTTTCTAATTTTCTTCCTCAGTTTCTTAGCTTCAGTAACTTGCACCCTAAGAGATTCTAAATGATACAGGAAACATTATGGGGAGAAGAATGAAACAAAGGGAAGCAAAGCGCCGAGACTTCAATAGGCACCGTCCCTCTTTATACAGATATCCCAAGAATAACTCAAGGTCAGGGCCAAAATTATAACTTAAAAGAAGGCTATAATTCACAAGAAAATATAAGATGGCTTCAACTGCCCAGACACAGCATTAATTTGCTTCTGACTGAGAGCTTGTGAGCTAGAGATTTAAAATAGATGGGAGGGGGAACCTTTGTATATACACAAAAATTCACATGAAATAGCTGAGTGCCTTCTTCCGCCTTGAACCACCCTCGCCATATAGTTCGTTCCATTGCTGAAGCTCAGTCATATTAACACTCTCGGATGATACACTAGCACAAACCTATTTCAATGTTGGAGAGAAAAAAAAAAAAAAAAAAAAAAAAAAAAAAAAAAAAAAAAAAAAAAAAAAAAAAAACAATGGTATGAAAAAATCAGTCAAAACAGGAAATCCATCAGAAAGGAGTTCAATTTAGCTCAACTATCCTCCTATATCCACCAAAAGTATCAAAGGCACCTCTTACCTGCTCATGTGCTCGTCTGAAATCATCCAAATTCAGAGGACGAATGTCAGAGCTACTATTCAAAGGCGGAAGAGATTTGCTTTCTGCCAAAGCTGCTGCGCGCTCCTGGCATCAGTGGAATAAAACATATTGTGAACAGCTTATCATGGATACAGGAAATTATTTTTAGAAAAAAAAAAAAAAAAAAAAAAATTAGGAGATAAGTCATTGTGAGATACATCAGATTGATTTATTACTGTTCTTAGAAGACTCTGGACATTGACAGCATCTAGGACGAAAGACAAGGCAAAATAGAATTGCAAGAAACTATACAGCTTCTGATTGCTTCTGATTGAATGAAATAAGCTAGTAAGCAAAATCTATCAAGAGAAACAGCAGCCATTTGAGAGAGGAGTTCAACTTCTAGTCACAACAAATTATGGCTAATTGGCTAGGTCATATATACTGTACAAATATTTCATCACCAATTTACCATGTTGCACTAAATTACTACAAACCATTTCCTCTTTCTTCGTGCATATAGATGTCCTCTTTACTTCACTCCTGGGGCTTCTTCACCAATAAAAGATATAACCAATATGAACACAAAACCTTCTGATTTCACCAACACTTTTTAAAAATTCAAGCCCCAGACAAATTTAATGCTCTCTACATCTCATATAAACATTAATATTTGTCTAACATATTACCATCAATTGTAAAAAAAATAAAAAAGTTTGGAAATGAGTAAATAGCCAGCTAAAGAACATGGACATGGAAAAGAAGTAATAATTAAGTCCTAACATTATGGGGAAAAAAATGAACCTTTTTTTCCTTTTCCAGTATTTCTCTGATAGGACGATGAGCAGCAGCCACACAAAGGTTCTGAAATACAAGTAAAAGCTGAGAATTAAGAAGTCTATATTACTAAGGACAACAGAGAATAATTGACAATTAGCTATATGGTTATAACCTTAAGGTCACTCCCAGAGTATCCATCAGTCATATTGGCAATTGCATCAAAATCAACATCGGGGGACAAATCCTCTTTTGCCAATATTACTTTTATAATCTTTGCTCTATTTGGAGCATCAGGTAAGTTAACCATCAGCCTGCAAGAAATACAATTCCACATGGAAAAAAAAATCAGAGGTTATACTGCCAAACCAGACAAGGCAAAAGCCAAGGTAATACATGGAAAACCAAAATAAACATTGCTCACCTACGAGGAAGCCTCCGGATGACAGCTTCATCAAGGTCAAAAGGTCTGTTTGTGGCCGCAAGTACCAGTACTCGCTCTGTATCTTTGGTCCGCAAGCCATCCCAGTTCACCATAAATTCATTTTTCATCTTACGCATAGCCTCATGTTCTCCAGGATTTTCCCTACGCCCTAACATGCTATCAACCTAAATACAGATAGTAAACACAACAATGAAGTACAAGTTTTTCTTCTGGTACTTTAGCGGGGAAATCATGAATGAAACAGTGATCAGGTTACAAGGAACTTACTTCGTCTACAAATACAACACTGGGAGCAATTTTACTTGCAAGTGAGAAAACAGCCTTCACATACTTTTCACCCTCACCAAACCACTGAACAGAAGAAAGGAAACAACATATTAGATATGCATAAGGAGATAAGAAAGTTGAATATAGGGGCATCTTTATGGCTAACCTTAGAAGTAATGCTTGACATTGATATATTTATGAAGTTCGCACCAGCTTCAGTGGCCACAGCCTTTGCAAGCATTGTCTTCCCAGTACCAGGAGGGCCAAACAAAAGAATACCCTTGCAAGGCTGAAAAAACACCGCACACACTAGCATTAATTTTTCTTCGACGACAATTTCTAGCATGATTAGCAATTAGAGAAACATAAATTCTTGTTGAAACAATTGAAAAAGAAACACATACTTTTCTGTACAGAATTGAACAGTTCTACATAACAAGATAGCCTTAGTTAACTTTTAGGAAAAGAGTGTCTCGTTCCAGTACCAGTGCATGTGTGAGACATGTAGGTCATGTAAAGAGATAAATATACACAGCATCATGAATAGAGAGGATACTTTATGAGTTGATGCAAGAGCCTCTTCCCCAAAACCTTGCTATTTTTCACAAAGGAACTTCAGGTTCTCAAAGCATGTTTCAAGATGGACAGATGGTACATTGCATTCAACAGCCTCCTCTATGTCTTTAAGTTTTTTTAACTATTGGGTTCAATTAACATTCGGCAGTGAAGACACAAACACTTGTATATAATTTGAGTAGAAATGGCAATGATGTGTTTTCTTGAATTAAGCACGGGTATGCACACATATAAAAATAATAATACCTATGGTTTTTCTTGGTCTAGGTCTCAAGAATGAGAGGGTAGGGTGGTAAGGTTCCTTATTAATTCAAGTTTTTTATTTTCGTAATAACAATTTACTCTAGGTTGTTTGAAGACTTATTTTTGCAAAATAAGGTTACAAAAGTTGTTTCATAATATCAGAAGGCCATTCAGAAAATTAACATATATATAAATGAAAATTTAAAATTCCACCAAAAACCCAAAAAACAAGGTCCTCATGTAGAGCCCTAAAATTTTGCTTAGTAACAATAGATAACAACTTAATGCAGAAAATCATGTAGAAAAACAATTGACACGGACCTTGGTTAAATGCCCCTTGCAAAAAAGTTCAGGCCTCTGTAAAGGAAGCATTACTAATTCCTTTAGTGTGTCTTTTACATTTTCAAGAGCTCCAATGTCATCAAATGTCACTCCAATGTCAGAGGGTGGAATAACATCTGCGAGGAGCCGCTTCTCAAAGTCATTTTCTGTCACAACATCCTGACATTTGCCAAATACCCAAAGTCAAATGTCACAACTCAACACATGAATAATTTATATTTTAAGATAAATGAGGAAAAAGACGCCAGGGATATTACAATTGTAAGGGAAACATGAATCAGAAATTACCTTAAGTGACTTCTTTAAGCTTTTGGACTCATTTTGGATAGCTTGTAGTACATCAATACCATACTTGATGCTGCCAGGATTTTACAAAAGTCACCACCCACTATACCAATCCAACATAATAGAACAAATAAAGTCATTATTAACAAATACCTCTCAATAGACAAAACAAGCTTTGCATCAGACTCAGCTTGAAAACTTTGCATCAAATGATGGCTTAGAGCCCATCCGACTACCTTCTCAGCACCTGCACACATAGATTTCACAGTATTATTCTAAGCAGTGTACAGTAAGTATCAACCATGTACCAATGGGGGTAGACATACTCTCATTCGAAAGCGTCAGATCCTTAACACATGATGTCTCCAGTCTTTCACACTCCAAGCCATTACGACTCAAAACCTATAGGATGATCAAAAATAAAAAAAAAATCATCAATAAATATATTTGACAAAATACACAGAAATAATAAAAATCAGCTTAAACAGAGGCAAATTTTCAAACATCCAATTAAAAGCTGGGAAATCCGAGACAAAACCCTAAACAAAGGTTAAAGAAGAAACCTATAGCCATGGTTCAAAAACCTCAGGAATCATAATCAATGATACCCTAACTCTGACATGATGCACAGTCAAGATGCGGTAGGCAACAATAAATTTTAAAAGCTAATATTGTCAAAGTGAAAATCAAGATTTAGGCTCTGTTTATTTTGACAAAAATCTTTTTCTGGAATAATGATATTTCCATGGAAGTCAAAACACAATTATAAAATAAAAATACGGCCAAATTAGAAAATAACACCCAAAAAAAACCCTGATTTTGATTATAACACCACAAAAAAAAAAAAATTTATTATAACACCACCAAAAATCACAAAATTTTGGTTTCACCACCACTTAACTTTGTCATCCAAAAAAACCATTAAGTGGGGCCCATAATTGACACGTGTCAATAATCTATTGGTTTAGAAAATTAAAAAAAAAAAATTCTATCCCCAACCCAAGCCAACCCCACCGCCGGAGCCACCTGCCCCAGCAGCCGACACCCTAACCTAGGCCGTCGGCATCCCCTGTCCCCACCCAAAACCGACGAAAACCAGCCCCACCACCCGTTCTTTCCTTTCCACTCCCTGAAAACCGACGAAAACCACCACCCATTCTTGTCTCCTACCACCGCAACATCACGCCACCACCACCTACCTAGCAACATCACCGAACTCCCCTCCCTTACCCAGATCCGTCGCCGAAACCCCAACCCACACCCAAACCCAAACCCAAATACCGCTTTACATCTCTCACCCTCACCTGAACCCAAACCCGCACCCAAACCAAATCGAATTGGGGCTGAGGCTGGGTTGTTCTGGTGGTCGGCTAGGCTGGCCTGGTTTCGTCGGTCGGCTAAGGGGAGTCGGCAGCGCGGGTTGGGGTGACGACGGTGGGCAGGGGGAACCGGCGCCGGTGGTGGCTGGGTTATTTGGGGTTTTTTTTTTTAAAAAAAAATTTCTTTTTTTTTAAAAAAAAATTTTAAACCAATGTATTGACACGTGGTTTTTATCCAATAAATAATTGACACGTGTACAATGTGGGGCCCACTAACGGTTTTTTGGATGGAAAAGTTAAGTGGTGGTGAAAACAAAATTTTGGGATTTTTGGTGGTGTTATTTTCTAATTTAAAATAAAAAATAAATTGTTTGTTTCTTAGGAGAAAAAATATAAAGGAAGAGGAAAATGGTAGTAGAAGAAAGATGGATGGGAGAGGGAAAGGATATAAGGAATAGGGAAGAATTTCAAAAGGAAAACGTTTTCCACTGTTCGAAAAACTATCTTCCACTTTTGGAAAAATTGTTTTCCGCCCTTTATCACCTAAACTAAAAAAATGAGAGAACCAATATCTAGGAAAATGTTCTCTGTGAAATAGAGCCTTAAGAATAGGAAAATAGTTAAACTCAAACTCTGGGAGGTCAACGTCACCAGATGAAGTAAACAAACATCAACAACAAATAAATATGGATGACTCACAGTACGCAGGTGACCCAAATTACTCTTCATTTTAAGAGTTTCAACATCTCGTTCTAATTGATTTTTCCAACTAGCAAGAAGAGTTTCATCCTGTAAAATAAAACAAGCATCACAATACTGGAAAGTATCAAAGTGTAGAGGTCCAAGAAGAAGATAGGTAAGGATCAAGATACAGATGAAGACAGGAGGGAACTCTGTCAAAGCAAACCTGAGGCAAATGAATGACAACTTTATTTGGAAAAAGCTTTGTAAGAGCCTTCATTGCTCGGGAAACATCTTTCCCTTTATCATGTAATCTTCCAAAACTATCCTGAGAAATGTTTAAGTAGAAAAATCAGTTGGTCCATCAATCTGCCTCAAAAATTCAAAATTCAAAGCATAAATAACTGATGGCAAGAAAATTAAAGATGTCAAAAGGACCAAGAAGGAAAGAAATACTCAGGCTTCTCAGCTCCTCTAACAAGTAAAAACCACGACTCACCATACAACAAAATTGAGCATGCAAATCACAATAACTCCCAGTCCCTATTTATTTGCTACAGGAGGGGCATATACAATTTATAGGAGAGTAAATACTGGTTTTTTTTAGGGGGCCCGGGGGAGCAAGTGCCAAACTTTAGAGAAAGTGTTGAAAGGATAAACTTACCATACTAAGAACTAGTATTGCAAGTCTTACTCATATTTAATACTAGGTTAGTCCCATCCATCACACGATTTAAACAGGTGCTTTTTTTAATTCCGAAAAATGTGTAGTAATAATTTCATAAATTTTTCAAAGAAGTATTTATTTATTCTTGGAACTTGCGAGGGAAAAAATGATCTCACAAGTAATTTAGGCGGGAAAAAATTTTCATAAGAAGTTGACACGCGTCTAGCGATAAAGGCAGCCAATGGCTTATTTTAGTAATATTTAGATATACTTCGAGCAAATCCAGAAAAACATACAAATTTAGGGCCTGATCATATGAAACTAAAGCTGAAAGTGACTATGGAGTTTCTTCACAATTTCATCTAGAAAGAAGAATTCATGCGTAATGAACAATGTAAGAGAGCTCTTTTAAAACACACTTCTTCCACTAAAATGCATGTCATACTTATAAAAAAAAAATTCTTTATTAGCCTCATATATGCCATAAGCTTCGGGTATGGAACCAAGAGTAAATCATGAAAATATAAATTTAACGATAAGGTGACATAGAAATCATACACTGTTTTATCTGTCCCATATTAGTTTTCATGATATTCGTTTCACGGTATTCAAGGCACACCATAGAACATTAACATTCTTAATTGAGTATCAATAGAGATTATATGAAGGTTAACTTTAAAAAGAATCCAACAAGTTCCCATACACTAATGTTTTTTTATAAGTTAATGAAGTACTTGGTCTAAATTGAAAAGAACTTATACCAAATGAATCAAAATGTGAAAACCAAAATTTCCAATTACAAGCATTGATAGGTTGCTTAAAAATAAAATGTCGTCCACAAAATACAGGCACTAGATGTTTGCAAAGTTGAGTAGAAGAATATTCAATAAACAAGGGACTTAGGGGCAATGATAGTATGATACCCTAACAGAGGTAATAGAAAATTATTAGTGTGTGTATAGCTAAATATAGAGAGAGAGCAAAATATCGACTATACAAAGCACCAAATATCAATTATGGAAAATGAAATCACCAACAACCTTATCACAAGCAACACAGCAACAAAATAAAATTTAACTGAAATCATAAGAAATAATAAACAAAAAGAATAGAAACTCACGGGGAAAGCCAAGTCCAAGAGAGCAGTTTGATTGCTGCCAAACTTTGTGAAGAATAAACCACCAGGATGTGCCTACAAAAATATAAGACCAACTTAAGAAAGACCACTTCAAGCACAGAGTCCAAAAAAGGCAAAGGCACAGACTAAAGGGGAGGAAAGAAAATAAACACCTTCTCTTTGCGGTTGTCATTCTGAGTATGAGAGCCAATTACAACAACATTATCAGGAAGCTTCTCCAGCCTGGTTTTGAAGGTTGAATATGATTCCGAGTTTCCCACAATTGACTTCTCCGCATCTTTGATAAATAAAATGAAAGGGCAATTTCTGCTCTCATTTGATATGGCCTAAAGATAGTCATGTCAATGTCAATGTCATATTGAATAATAAATTTATCCAGGTAGAATGGTTTATTTTACCAGCACGCGACATTATAGAATCTCAAAATACAATGTAAAAAGACTCAAAATAGCACGCCTCACAATATTTTCTTTCCAAAGCAATAAATGGCCATACTACTTTTAATCAAGCTAGAAATGAGAGAGCACGTCCAAAATCTACCAGCAATTTACCACTAATAAGCTAAAGCATAGTACATATACAAGACAAGACCATCTTCCTCAATCTTCTCAACGAAACAGACGCAAAATATCATCTACACAGCCATCTAGCTTCTGGTATACTAGTATTTAGAATTAAAAATCATGGTTGTGGCCACTGCAGTGCCCTGAGCTAACACAAACTGCATACAAATATCAATTCCCCCTAGGACAAAGGCCAGCAAAACCACATCCCTGATCCATCTCATGCCTTTTGAGCTTGAGTACCATCTTTCTTCTTACCCCACTATTTCCGGCAAATGATAACCTTCTTAAAATTAAGTAAAAATAAATAAATGTAAAAATAAAATAAAATGAAATAAATAAGAAATCTCTATCCACTCATATGTTATCCAAAATCCAGCTTGATATCTTGTTTACAAATACTTGAACTAGGCAGCAATGCCTGAGCCTTCCATGTCAACATTCCGCAGCCTTGTCAATTTTCATCTACTCACCTAAACACTTAGTTACTTCTCAATTTTACAATTCCAGTGTTATAGACAAAACCTACAGTGTCTCGCATTTTCATCTACTCACCTAAACACTTAGTTCTCAATTTTACAATTCCAGTGTTACAGACAAAAACTTGGTTATGGTACAATAATCTAGCCATCGAGTCAACATAAAGTCATAGACTACATCCCAAGTATCATTACAATAAAAAAAAAAAAATTAAAAAAAAAAAAAGGTAGTGTCATTCACAGCCTGACCAATTCTAGATGCTCAAGCACTCCAAATATAACTTAGACTCAAGATTATTCAACCCCATAAATTCAACAAGAAAAGGAATACAAACCAGAAGCCAGAGGACAGAAATTGCTTATGAGTATGGGTAAAAAAGTGATGTTTAAATTAGAAAATAAAAAAATTCTTTTACATCACTCCATCTTTGATGGAGTTTCTTATGTTTTGGGGGGAAAAGACACTACACTTTCAAACAATAATATATTGTTTGCAATATCAGGAAAAGTAAAAGGAAATTAAAAAGGCCTTGTCATTCCCTGGAGAGAGAGAGAGAGAGAGAGAGAGTACCTCAAATAGTGTATTAATCAATAATTTATCCAGGTCATCCATGCTGGTGTTCTCCAAACGCAGATCGTGGACTATAAGATTAGGAAACAGATTGTCATCAAGGATATGACGTGGAAAAAGGCTAAAAGAAAGATCATCACAAGATCTTGCCCTGTTCAGTATTAAAGGATTTAGCAATACGATACCATTGCAAAAGAAACCATGATCTGGTTCACATACGCTTCCAAGATCAACACCAGCTGGAATTGATTTGTCAAACCTTACACCAATTTTTGAAAGTGGATTATCTTCGAAAGGTAAAACAACTTTGCCACGCATACCAAAACTTGGACCCCTACATGAATCCAACAGTGACATTAAGTCGGATAACATCATACCATGACTTACAGAAAAATTATGCTACCATAAAGTCACAAATTAGCAAGAAGTTCAATAAAATATTCCCCGACACAAAATTGAAGATAACTTATATAGTTTTATCAGAAACGGGTGCAGGAACATGACAAAGGGTTAGTAATAGCAGCTAGATTGCCAATAGTAATAATCGGTAGCACATCCCTTCATTTCACATTTCATTTCCGTCTCTAAAATATGAACCTATGTAATACTAACACGTCTGCTTACTGACATGGATGAAACAGATCTACATCCTTCGAAGGAGGCATAGTAAACACGACCGACAAACCTGTTAGTGTCGACAGGAGGCTGGGTCTTCTTCAACTTTTTCTCAATCTTAGCAATGTCATTTCAGTTGCAATGTACTCCTCTTGGCCTATACCCTATTTTTTTTATTATTGGGAGGAAAAGTTCCGGGGAAGAAGTGAAAAGCCCACGTGACATCGCTGACTGCTTTAGCTTCCTTCTTTAATCTTTATAATTTTTAAGGTTGAATTAGGAATACCCCCACAAGACAACTTCTTGATTTTCACCTTCTTTGACTTCTGCCACCCTACTATTACCTCTTTTCTAGCTTAGAAAATAAATTTGAAAATTCATTTTACTTTCTAAAATTTCTAATATTCTTTGCCATACCCATTTCCCCGTTTCTGTCTCCAAATCCATATTGGTGCTATATAGATATGAACAATCATCACTTCACTTGAGTGACCTAGCTGGAGTGGACTTAATAAACAGTGTCTATTTCAAGTCATGGTGAATGCGTGCATAATTGGTTCAAATCCTCATTCTAATAACTAAAAGAATTCCAATAGTCGATCAATCCAGAAAATCAATTAGATTCTAGATTCTCATAACCCCCAACATACCTCTGAGCCTCTGACATTGATGTCCATATCATAGAAACACCATAATTATGAAAGAAACCCCATGGGCAGTATCAAAGCTTGTCAACTATTATTACAACCATGATAATTGATCATCATCATAACGGAGTTTGAAGACATATGACAGACAAAACATTGATAATATACCCATTAGGCTGATCTCTTGTATGCTTAACATCCAAAAATAAATCAATCATATATCAGGAGACCTCCTGATCAACAAATAGTATATCTGAGAAGAGTGGAGAGGCTCAACAATTTACATAATTTTTGTTCAAATCCAAGAGTCACGATAATGAAAAAAAAAGCTTCAGTAAACATCCTGTCAAGACTCCCTATTCCCATTGAAGGACTCACAAAGTTCAAGATTGCAAATTTGCAATCTAGGTACTTGGAACATCTTGGCACTAGGTCAAGATGTTCTCCAACCATACTTGGCATGTCATCTGTAAGGATTTTAAGAAACCTCAATGTAATAAAAGATGTAACCATATAGCTTTAATGTTAACAGCTTAAATGGATAACTGTTTATATCACTTTCAAATTAGCAATTGCATAAAGCTGACTTTAAACTGAGTGTTTGGAGTTTATATCCTTAATAGTAAAGCGCTATAATAATAAAAAATAAAAAAAATAAAAAAATAAAAAAAAACACAGTAATATTAAATCATAATATTGAAACATTACTTAAAAAAAATTCAGAAACTACCAATGTTGTGACTTTTGGCAATAGAATTAATACACACATACACATTTAATGAACAAACATCACAGAACAACAGCTCAATGATTTATCCACCTGAAAGTAGTCCAAAGGAAAACAATTAGATACCCTACCTTGAAGGAGATGCTGATGAATATAAACCAATCGAAGCTGAACCGATATATCTCACTCTGTCACCTAGATATTCAATTTTTATTCATTAAATCACTTCCCAAACTAGTACTATAAGATAAGGGGAAACATGAGCAGATATTACAGCAGCATATATATTGGCTATGAGAATCTTTCACAGAAGCTAAAGAGTAAAGACACTTACCCACTTTAAAAGTGTGATTTTTAGATGAGCTGGAAAAGAAGGGTGTAAATTCTAGCTTGGGATGAGCATCGACTTGAGATGAATGTAAATTAGAAGAACTGGGAGCATCTGCGTCACCAACTGGACATGCACTCTTATCTAGTTCCACTGAACCAGAGATTTTCTTTGTAGAGCCGGTTGTTTTCTCAGCATTGAGCCCATCCTTCAGAAGCTCTGCCTCTTTTGCTGACAAGCCCTAAAAAGAAAAATAAACAAGTATGTTAATTTCATTTCCCCTAGCCAAAAAGAATGCTACATACTTGAAAGAGACCATCATTGGTCGTTTAAAGTCAAAAAATCTTACACCCAAAAAGGCATGGCTGTCAAATATGAGGAGTTTAGCCCCAAAATAATTGGCTAACGCCTTTGCCAGCATCTCCTGATATATCTCAGAACCTGCATTAGAGCATAAACTTTGGTAAAGAGCTTTCACAAGGGAACAATCAAACAAAATAGCATACAGAAATAAGAAGACATAAAATTCCAACACACCAGCTGGGCCTGAGAGTAAAATCCTTGGATTAACAGTAGGCAGTTCAGAGGCATATTTTGCATGCTCTCTATGCTTTAAATGTATGTAGGACGCAGCAATCAGCACATTTTTTGTATTTTCACTGCAAAGGTCAAAGCAAAAAAAGATCAATCCAAGTCTTACAAAATCCGACTAAAGTTCTATTCAAAATGGAATGTAATAATGTTTACAAGTAACAAGAAGTGGGCAATCGATGCACTTATTTTTCCTATTTCAAAGGGTATTTTTTGGGTCTATTCAATGTACTTTTGAAAATAGGAAAATAGAAAACTTGAAGGGAAATTAAACAAGGAAAAGAAACCTAGAGACGTTCAATTTATAAGAGCAACAAGAAACAAGCATAAAGACCTTAGATAATAAGGGAAGTCATCAAATGAAACTTGGACAGCATTGCCATCAATTATTCCAGCATTAATATCTTCTTTGAATGCTGCACATCTGAGTGACATTCCAGATGTCGATGCTGGCTGTGAACTCCTTGTCCATTCATTTCTTTCCTCTAATGCCTATCATCCCAAAAAAAAAGAAAAAAAAAAATCAGGACGACAGATGCAATTAAAACCTTAAGACCCCAGAAAATTATGCAGTAAATAGAGCCTTACATTCCCTCCTTCAGGGCCATCTGTGCTGCAGCCACTAGGAAGGTTCTTGCTTGTCCCACCGATGTCAGCAACATTATCACACTCCATATTGGTAGTTGAATCACCTTCCATACCATCAAGCTCTTCTGATCCATCCTGAATAACCGCATGTGTAGAAAGCTCACTATCTTGATACGTTTTAGGAGTGCTCAGACCTGAAGACCTCCAACGAGACAGATTTGACTTCAAAGTTGAAAGAGATGCCAATATAGAAGCTCCAGCCTCTGCCGAAGGATCCCCTGATCTTTTTTCAACAAAATACTTTCCAACAACATTCTGAACATCTGTATTTCCTATTGATGAAGGTGCCTTAACAGTAACATCCACAAGTTGCTGGAATATCTATACAATTGACCAGTTAAAGGTAAATCTAATCACAGAAAAATGATGTGCACAATCAAAAAGTGCTCTAGTTCAAAGACACTACCTCCATTAATTTATTTATTTTTTTTTTTGAAGTTTATTACTTGTATAATCTACCCAATCTACCCATTTACTTTTTCATAATCATCAATCAACATCTATTATCATCAATAAGTTTGTATTTTTCAACTACATATCAAGATGATTATAGCGAGAACCTGCATGAGCATGTTATACCTTGCATTCTTGTTAATAATCATGGGGCTCTATAGGAATACATAAACAAAGGGAGTAAAAGTTATATATAAAGGATACATAAGCATGACTTCCAGCCACACCAAAAACCACTTCATCCCCAGAATGCAAAAGACGAGTAGTATTCTTCTTAACACTCATCCCATTAACTAACACAGCTCCCTTGCTTCCTGTGCTTTCAAGAACAGCAATCATGCAGCCTTCACGCTGATAATACCAGCAAACAATGAGTATTTTTACTGCAAGTACATCAGAGAGACTTCATTTCCAAAACACAAAAGAAAGATACTTTGTTGGCAAATTCACAGCATCAATGCCAGAAAAATGATTCAAACATGATCTAAACTTAATCATTTACACAAAGTATTGAACAAACGAAAATAAAAATACCTCAGTATGTTTAATTTTGCATAGAATCCCGCTCGCTGTTTGGTCTCTTAGGACTAAGTTACATTGTCTGTTTGAACCAATTGTATAGATAGGCGCTGATACACTTAAAGTCGGATTCTGCATTACAATAAACACTCTTATTTCCGACTTCCCGAGACATAAACCAATAATAGAACTCAAATAAACCCACCCCCAAAGTAGTCCTCAATCAGAAATAGAGTCCCATTTTAAGAAAAACTACAATTCAACTTCATTGCACTAATATATCTAGCCAAAAAAAACTACAATAATTTCAAAAATAAAAATTGAAAAATTTCAAGAAAACCCCATTCACCTTAATTGCACTAATATCCAGCCAAAAAAAAAATTATTTACAAAATCTACAAAAATTTCAAAAATCTGAAATTCACCTGAGCGTACTGTGACAAGAGCCTACACCAAGGAGTAGTGGACGTCTCTAAACCCAAGCTTTGCTTCTGATAAATCCTCACTGGCGAAAACGAGTTCCTCGGCTGCTCAACCACAACCGGCGTATTCCCTTCAATCAAACCACCAACATAAAACAATTAACATGAAATTCAAATTTTTCCCAAAAATAAAAAAAAAAAACATAGTAAGCAAAAAAATTGCACACACCTGCAGCGACCGAAGGTGATGAAGCAGGAGCAGAAGGGGCAGCGGCGGCACCAGTATCGACTTCCTCGGGTTTAACGGAACTAACATCCTCTACACCACCACCGCTATAAATCTCAAATTCCGGCGGCAAAAGGGGATCTACTGGTGGCAGAGAAGTACACATTTCTTTCGAAATTTCTGGAATTTCCGATGATTTCTCCGACGTAACCCCATTTTCAACCTACCCAAAATTCCGATCAAATTCAACACAATTCAAAAACTCAATAAAAATAAAAAATAAAAACAACCCAATATTAATCAATCAATTAATCAACAACAAACAAAATAATTCAAAATTTCAAGAACTTAACCTTCAAACGTTTAGGTGACGGAGGTTTAATCTCATCAGCTGAAGAAGACGATCTTTTTCCATTTCCGTTACCGTTGCTGTTAATCCCAGCAACGTTGCTCTTGTTGTTGGTGGTGTTGTTGTCGTTGCTGGTACTACTGGTACTGTTGTTGGTGGCGTTGTTATTGTTGTTGGTGGTGTTGTTAGAAGAGATAGATCCACTACGACGGGTGGAAACCATGACTAAGAGAGTTTGGTGTTTATGGGTTTTTCAGTTTTTATTTTCTGCTTTTTTTTGGTTTCTCTGCTTTCAAAAAAGAGAGAAATGAAAACAAAGAAGGTGAGAAGAGGAGAGAGAAATTGAGAAAGAGAGGGGAAATTTATAAATTAATGGAGAAACGGAAAAAACCAAATACGAATAGCCAACAATTATTTTATGGATTTGTGATTAATTTATTTGTTTTGCCTCCATATGTTAAATATACTACTATGGTTTTTAATACTCAGTAATCATTTCGGTTTTGGAATTTCGACTCACTTGACTTTTACGTAAATTTAAATCCTTATTTTTGACCATTAGTATCTTCGATAATGCGTAAATGAAATTTATGAATGTTGAATTATTGAAAGTTGACATTGATGAGATATCATGTGCTAATTTTTTTCATGAGGTTAAATTTATTTTAGTTTGACCAAACTTAATACTCATATTAGTAAGTGAGTCGAAATTTCATAATAGAGTTAGTATTATTAGTCTGTTAGTTTTCTAAAGTGCAACTAGAGACTAGTTTGGTTGCCACAAATTTCCACGGGAACTCAAAATTCCTAGCAAATACATATTTGTTGTGTTGTTTGGTTAACCATTAAATCTTATTGCAACCAAACAATCACTAGGAATATATACCATTTCCTCCCCTTAAAATTTCTTTATTTGACTTTTCACGTTCAAGATGAGTCCTAATAAATACGAGTATCTTCAATTTATATGTGTAAAAATATTAAAGATTGACATTAAAATATATACATCGGGATAAATCCAACATGATCTCATATGACTATTTTTTCTTATAGAATAATGAAAATTTATGGTCAAAGTTTTAATGTTTGACCCAAAAATATATAAGGTAATTTTTCCAAAGATAGAGGGAGTCAAAAGCACGTCAGTAGTGACAAATGTCACAATCTGTATTTTTTTTTTTTTTTTTTTTGCAATAAATGTTTTAAGGAAATTTATATCGGTATTGATACGGTCAACCTTTCAAAATGAGAAATAAATATTTTTACCATTTCTATATTATTTATTATGCATGCACCTACGCACTATAGAAAAGGATAATTAATTTCAACAAATCATATCCGGGTGAAATTATTATCTTAAGAATACAATCACCATTGATTGGTAAGAATCATATCGTCTTCATTTCTTTTTAATTGACAAAATTTGAATATAGCACTGTTTATACACTCCCTTGTAACCGATTTGTGATTTACGATCATGCATTTGACACTTGGCTCTACATCCTTCCCCTTAACTAGCGCATCCAGTTTCGGAATCTTAAGATTTTAAGGGTTTTAAGAAATCGATTATAGGGGAGTGAATGATCTTTGAGCAGGGTTTTAGCATTGGATTTGGGCTATGGATGGTTGGATGAGGTTTTTGTGGTTTGACTTTTGCACTTAGGATTTGAATGCAATTTTTTAGGCTTTTTAAAACTTTGGAGGGTTCAAGAAATCATTGGATCTTGGCACATAAATGCTTTCTCACAAATTTAAAGAAAAGACAATATAATTTTAATAACTGTGTACGATAAGAGGGAATAACTGATGAGTTGTTTCCTAGTAGTAGTTAACCCTTTTCGAGAATGTATAAATTTTCACTTTTTTTTTTTAAATGAATCAATTCATTAATAAAAATTCATACGACATCGACAAAATGAAGTCTAAATTTAACAAATACATAAAAAGGAATCAAACAAAAGTTTCCTTCATAAAAGCTCTTGCATTGTGGTATATTTCTCGCACATATTGCTGGAAGATATAATCATTTTCATAAAATAGTCTAACGATTTGTTGTAGCCTTGAGGATGATTTTCATCTTATTCATTTGAACGTATTTGAAAATTTGACAATCCTTGTGATCCCGCACAAATTTTTACCAATAAAACGATAATAGGGCAAAAGATATTGCTTTTTTTAAAAAGAAAATTGTTAAACCACATCCGGTATTTACCGGGTACGCTCGTATTTTAACATGACTTAATAAACATGCCCCCATATAAAACGTACCCTATTCCACTTTCACTTTCATTAACCACTCTCTAACTTGTTACCCCACCAACCACCAAATAACCATCACCTACGAATAACCACCACGTCATATTTTAAAAAAAAAACTGTTTTACTCTTCACCAATTAGCGCAAACAGTGAATGGACAAGTTTAAGGAAGCAACGATGCCACTGTAAAGGTCGTCAGAGCATACAGAGTCGGTGAGTGCTTTGAATTTTTGTCAGTTTTTTTCTTTTTTTTCATTTCATAATCATAGAAGGAAGATCAATCAATCAAAGCCTTAATGCCATAAGTGGGGTCGGCTACATGAACCAAATTTGATTATTCCGTGTTGTCATAGACAAAAATCTTCCTCCTCCATCCCTTACGATTCAATGCCTCATCCTTATACCAGACAAGGAAGAGAAAAGCAAATCAATCAATCAATCAAAGCCTTAATCCCATAAGTGGGGTTGGCTAACATGAACCAAATTAGATTATTCCGTGTAGTCATCGACATAAATCTTCCTCCTCCATCCCTTACGATCCAATGCCTCATGCCCATGCAAATCCATAAACTTCATATCCTTCCTAACTACCTTCTAACCAAGTCATTTTTGGTCTCCTTCTCCCTCGTTTAACCCCTTCATGGTCCCACTCTTCTACTCTTCGCATCGGTGCACCTTCAGGTCTCCGTCTTACATGCCCAAACCAACGCAGGCAATTTTCCCTTAGTTTATCTGTTATGTCTGCCACACCTACTTTCTAGCGAATAACCTCATTTCTAATTCTATTTCTTAGAGTGTTCCCACACATCCACCTTAACATGCGCATTTCCGTAACCTCCATCTTATTAATGTGCTCCTTCTTAGAAGCCCAACATTCTGTACCATAGAGCAACACTAGTCTTATGGCAGTCCTGTAGAATTTTCCCTTCAATTGTAAGGGGATGCTTCGGTCACATAACACTCCCGTGGCCGCTCTCCATTTAAGCCACCCCGACTTAATCCTATGAGCCACGTCTTGATTAATGTCACCATTCTTCTAGATGATCGACCTAAGATACTTAAAGCATTCACTCATGGTCAAATCCTTTCCATCCAAACTCACCACTTCATTGTTTGTTCCCCTCTGAGTACCAAAACGACATACCAAATATTCAGTCTTACTTCGACTTAGCTTAAACCCTCTAGATTCCAACCTTTGCCTCCATTGCTCCAACTTAGCATTAACCCCATCCTTAGTTTCATCCACCAAAACGATGTCATCTACGAACAACTTACATCATGGAACCTCATCTTGAATTGGTCTAGTTACTTCATCTAGAAATGTTGCAAAAAGAAAAGGGCTTAATGCAGACCCTTGATGCAATCCGATTGCAATAGGGAAATCTTTTGTCAACCCTCCACATGTCCTCACATTTGTTGACACATCCCGATACATATCCTTAACCAGGTCCACGTACCTTCGTGGGATACCTTTCTTCAACATTTCCCACCAAAGTACCTCTCTTGGCACCTTGTCATATGCCTGCTCTAAATCAATAAAGACCATATGAAGATCCTTTTTCTTTACCCTATAAAACTCCATCGTTTCTCTTATCAAATGGATTGCTTCCATAGTAGATCTCCCAGGCATAAAACCAAATTGGTTATCTGAAATGCTTGTGCATGCCCTCAACCTGTGTTCAAGCACCCTTTCCCACAACTTCATACTGTGGCTCATAAGCTTGATCCCTCGATAGTTAGAACAATCTTGAGCGTCTCCTTTGTTTTTATAGACCGGGACCAAGGTGCTCTTCCTCCAATCTTGCGGGATCCCTGAAGCCGTCCATATCTTGTTGAAAAGGTATGCTAACCAATCAATACCAATCTTACCCAAACACCTCCACACCTCTATCGATACACCATCAGGGCCAACCGCCTTCTTAGGCTTCATCTTCTTCAGTGCAATCTCCACCTCTACTCTCCTAATCCTCCGCACATACTCCATGTTGATTTCTTCATCACTCACGGAGGTATCTCCTGTCACAATTCCATGTTGGGTTTCGTGATGTCTAACATCACGCGGAATGAAACCCTCCTAAAATCCGCATACAAATTAAAGTAACTAAACATGCATATTAATTAGCAATCACATAATTAATTAACAAAGAGAGAGAGAAAGATGATCATACCCATGATGCGTGCTTCGCTCCTTTTAGAGCTCGAACTTGAAAGCGTAGAGTTTCGCAAATAAGAAAGCCTCCAATGGCTCTCACCCTCGAGACCCGACCCGAATAGCCCCTACCCCGAAGCTTAGTCGGGGCTAGACCAAAATAACTTAGAGTATTAGAACGAAAGTGTTCTCGCTTGTGGAGATCCTTTCAAGTTCACAACTCAAGTACCCTTTCCCAATGCTAAGGGATTGGTATTTATAGGGAAAAGAGCCCTTTAATTCCAATCTCCCATCTATGTGGGAGAGTTGATAAAAAGGCATTTATTCAATTTAATTTAAAATCATATTAAAATGCAAATGAATCAACAAACAACAAGTGTCAAGTGGAGAGTAAGGGGTTAGGTGAAGACCACAAGGGGGGAACCATTCACCCCTTGCTCCCCAAGCAAGCTCTCAACAAACCAAGCCAACAAGCATGTGCTAGCTTGCGGCCTGCCAAGGCAGCCTTTCTGGTGCCTAGCGCCATGGCTGGGCCTGCCAGCTAACCCGCATACATGCACGCACAGCCAGCAGGCCATGCATGCAATGCGGGCTGCTGCTGCTGCGTTGCTTGAACTAGGCAGCACCTAGCTGCTGCGATGCTTGTGCTAGGCTACGCCCAGTTAGTTACTGCTTGCTTGCGGGCTGTTGTGTGCGAGGCATTAGCATGCTAGCATGCCAGCGATGCTGGCCATGCCGCACCAGCTAGATAGCCAGCGCTGCTATTGCTAGCGAGCTCGCAAACTTGTTGTGACCATGTGCGAGGCCCAGCGAGCACTTGTGTGCTGCTGGCCTTGCGATGGTGCGGCTAGTGCTGCTAGCTCGCCTAGCACATGCGGCCAGCCATGTTGGCCTTGCGATGCGCACAAGGCATGCTTGGCCATTCTAGGCATGTTAAGCTTGCGGCCGAG